AAGGTACCTCAAAAGGATAGCTGGGTCAAATGGAATTTCTATTTGTAGTTTTTTGAGGAATCACCACATTTATTTTCACAGTGGTTGTACTAGTTCACATTCCCACCAACAATGTAGAAGAGACCCCCCATCCTCACAACCATTTGTTATTTATTTGATGACAGCCATTTTTTCTGGGGTAAGATAGTATCTCAATGTAGGTTTAATTTGCATTTCTCTAATGGCCAGTAATGTTGAACACTTTTACATGTACTTATTGACCATTTGCATTTCTTCTTCTGAGAAGTGTCTATTCATTTTGGTTGCCCATACTTTTATTGGATCTCTTATTTGGGGGAGTCTTGTTTTTTTGAGTTCTTTATATATTCAATATGTTAGACCTCTATCCTAGGGATAGCTGGCAAAAATGTTGTAGGTTGTCTCTTCACACTGTTGCTTCTTTTGCTGTGCAAAAGCTTTTTAATTTGATATCTCATTTGTGGATTTTCAGTATCACAGTATTTCTTGTGTCATTGGGGCTCTGTTCAGAAGGTCCTTGCTTATGCTTATGTCTTCAAGTTTTACCTATTTTATCTTCCAGCAGATTGTTTGCTTTAGATCTTTGATCCATTTTGATCTTAGTTTAGTACATGGTGAGATATATAGGTCTAGACTCAATCTTCTCCATGTGAATATCCTCTTTTCCCAGCACCATTTATTAAAGAGGCTATCTTTCCTTAGTATATGTTTTTGGCCCATTGTGTCAAAGATCAAATAGCTAAATGTGCCTGGGGTTGTTTGTTTCTTCTCTGTTCCAGTGATCCATATGCCTGTTTTTGTGCCAGTACAAAACTGTTTTTTGGTGTTGTTTTTGGTTTTGTTTTTGTTTTTCAATACCACGCTGTTTCAATCACAGCAGCTATGTAGTATAACTTCAGATTTGGGATTGTGATGCCTCCTGCTTTGCTCTTAATGCCCAGAATTGCTTTAGCTATTCTGGTCTTTTCTGGTTCCATATGAATTTTAGGATTGTTTTCTCTAGATCAGTGAGAAATGATACTGGTATTTTGACTAGGATTGTGTTAAACCCACGTATCAATTTTGGAAGTATGGCCATATTAACTATATTGGTTTTGCCTACCTAGGAACAGGGGATATCTTTCAATTTTCTGATGTCCTCCTCAATTTCCTTTTCAGAGTGATGTAATTTTCATCATAGTCTTTCAATCCCTTAGGTTAATTCCTACATAGTTAATTTTTCTGGATGCTACTGTGAATGGTATTGTTTTCCTAATTTCTCAGTTAGTTCATTTTTAGTATACAGAAATGCTATTGATATTTGTGTTTATATTGTATCCTGCTATATTGCTGAACATTTTAGGAGTCTTTCGATGGAATGTTTTGGATCTTGTAATCACATCATTTGAAAATGATACTTTGACTTCTTCCTTTCATATGCATTTCCCTTTTATTTCTTTCTCTTGTCTGATTGCTCTGGCTAATGTTTCTAAGACTATGTTGAACAGTAATGGTGATAGTAGACATCGTTGCCTTGTTCCTGATATTATAGGGAAAGCTTTCAGTTTTTCCCCATTTAATATAATGGCAGTAGACTGGTCATCAGTGGCTTTTATCAGATTGAGATAAGATCTTTCTATACCTATTCTCTTCAGGGTTTTTATCATGAATGAATGTTGGATTTTGTCAAAAGTTTTTTTCTGAGTCTATTGAGATGATCATGTGAATTTTTTTTTTTTGTCCTTGTTTATGTGATGAATTTGTTGATATATGTAAGTTGAACCACCCTTGCCTCCCTGGGATGAAGCCTACTTGGTCATAGTATATGATCTTTTTGATGATTTGTCACATTCTGTTTGCCAGTATCCTGTTAAAGATTTTTGCATCTATGTTGATTAGAGAAACTGGCCTGTCATTCTCTTTTGTTCTAGGATCACTGTCTGGTTTGGGGACCAGGATAGCGCTAGCTTCCAAGAATAATTTTTGAAGTACTTCTTCCCTCTTCATTTCATTAAAGAGTTTGAAGACTATAGGTTTTAGCTCTTGTCTGAAGTTCCTGTAGGACTCAACTCAACTGCTGACATACAATAGCACAGGATAAACATTAGCATTCCAAAAGAGAAATAGGGGCATAGAAAAGAATGGGAACAAAGCAAGACAAACCCCAGCAGAGCAAACATTAAGGCCCACAGTCCCATGTCCAGTACCCAGGGCAAAAGGTGGCAAGATGCAAGCTTCATGGCACCACACCTGCCTTGCAAGCACAAGGACCTGAGTTTGATCCCCAGTACCAATACAACAACAACAAAAGATGCAAGCTCCAAAGGGCTTGGTAAACCCTGCCCTTATCAGCTGCAGCTACCATGGCCTCTTTTGAGAAGTCTCCACTCACTGCCTGCATCTTTCCTCAGCAGTTGTTCGACATTCCTGTCTTTTCTACTTCCTTGGATCTCTAGTGCACGTTAAGCCTCATGCTCAAGCTTTACATACTACCCTCTCAAAGGCAAACTCCTAACCTCTCAGGCCTTCTGAAATCTGGATGGAAACCTCCTTGACCCCACCACTGTTGTATTCTACATGCCTGTAATAAGAGCACCATGTGGATGATATCAAGGTCTGCTGCCATCTGAGTGGTAACAGGCCTCCTTAACTTCTGGCCACAGCAGTGGCCTCTGAGATCCTAGACAGCTGAGGACTGTAAAACAAATCTCTAGCTAGCTCTTTTCAAGTAGAGTGTCCTTGGGCTCTCTTTTCAAAGCAAAGTCTTTCACTCTTACAAGTTCAGTTTGCAATAAGTAGGGTCTTCCTGGTTCCTGAGATGCCAACATGGCATCTTTTCCACTGTCCTGATGGAAAGTATCTGGCTTATTTTAATGCTATCTTTTCAGCAATAAAACTCTCCTTTAATAAAACTTGAAGATCCTCCTCTTTTAAGGAAATGGAAAACTTTTCAAATGACTTTTTTGCCAGCTAAAAATAGCAAGCAGCATCCATGCTTTTCAGCCTGAACACTGGGCTGTCTTGAAATTTCCTCTGCCATTTTTGTCTTCCACTCTTTTTTTTTTTTTTTTTTTTTTTTTTTGTACCGGTGATCAAACTCCAGACCTTGCATTTGCAAGTCAGGCAGCAGAACCACTGAGCTAAATCCCTGGCCCAATTAATTTTTCACTTTTAATCTCAGTCTCCTATAAAATCTCAGGAAATAAGTAAAATGTAGACAAATTTTCTATTATAGCATAACACTCATGGTCTGGAGTCCAACTGTCAATGAAGTCCTTCTTCCCAATAGAAACCTCCTAAGCCTGGTCTTTACTGTCTGCCTTTTTATCAGCATTCAGTTCTTCTAAACTCCAACCAGATCTCCCACTAAGCCCAGCTTACAGCATCTAGAAGTGTTTTGCCAGCCAGCATTTCCAAACTTTTCCAAACTCCTCATGTGAACCAGTTCCAAAGGCTTATGAACCACAACATGGTCAGGTAATATAAAGCATTGCAATGATGATCTCATGCTCATTACCAATATCTGTCTTAGTTACTTTCTTATTAGTGAGACAAAATATCTAATACCCAAAACTTAAAGGAGAGGTTTGATTTGCTCATTTTTCAGAAGTTTCAGTCCTTACGTGGCTGGCAGCACAGTGGAAATGCCTAGGCAGAGGAAAGCTGTTTACATTGTGGCTGCTCAGAAGCAAAGAGAGAATAGAAGAGCCAGAGAGAAAGATACACCCTTCCAGGTCATGCCTCCAGCTACCTGCTTCCCCCAACCAAGTTCCAATTCCTAAAATCAAGTGAACTATAGTGTCCCCGCAGACTAATCCTCTTCCAAAAGCCCCACCTATGAGTTCATGAGGCTCTTGGGGACATCAGATATAAATCACAACACCTAGTGTGCACAAACACACACACAGGTTGTGCGATCATCATCAATCCCAAAGAAATTCCAAATCCATTGGCAAACATTCCCCTCTCCCATGCAACTGCTTGTCTCTAATATATACATATGATTTTAACAAAGCTTACCAGTACTCATTTTTTTTTTTAGTACCAAGGATTGAACTCAGGAACTTGCGCTCGCAAGGCAGATGGGGCACCACTGAGCTAAATCCCTGGCAGACCGCTTACCAGTACTCTATTTTTTAGTTTGTTTTGTTTTTTGAGACAGGGTCTCACTATGTAGTTGAGACTGACCTGGAACTCACTATGTAGCTTAGGCTGGTCTTGAACTCATAGCAATCCTCCTGCCTCAGCCTCCCGAGTACTGGGATAACCAGCATGCGCCACCACACCCGGCTACCAGTACTCTTAATTATGATCTTATTATACCTTCAAGCCAAATTTTTATCCATCTAAAAGTAAGAGTGGGAGAACTCTTACATTATCATAGCTCAAAAGGAAAATGTGATTTAACACAGTAACTTAGAAAGGTCTTATTTTTGGGTCCAGAAAAAAAAACTCCTGGGCCAGGGATTTAGTTCAGTGGCACCATGCCTGCCTCACAAACACAAGATCCTGAGTTTGATCCCCAGTACCACAAACACACACACACACAATCCTACATATAAAATGATCTTACATGTTTACTTACCTAATTTGAGGGTCAACCTAAAACAGAACACTTTGTTTGGTTTTTGTTTTGTTAAGCTTTTTGGGGGAAGGGGGCAGTGTCAGGGGTCAAACTCAGGACCTTGTGCTTGCTAGGCAGGCACTGGACTGTTGCGCTGCATCTCTGGCCCCTGTTAAGCTTTTTGTTGAAGAGGTGTAATATATAATTACACATAAAAGTATACACCTTGATAAGTTTTCAACATCTGAATATATAAGTGTAACCAGCACCCAGATCAGAAAACAGCTTTCCTCACCTCCCTCTTAGCCAATCCCAAATGATAGCTAATATCTTGACACTTCTAACACCAAATTATGTTTTCCTGTTTTGTACTTTACTAAATGGAAGCACGCAGTATAGAAACTGTTGACACTGAAGTTTCATGCCTTGCAATACTCACCATAATCTTCTTGTACAAAGCCATAACATTATCATCATCAAATGGTAGAAAGCCACACATAAGTACATATAAGAGTATGCCCATGCTCCAGACATCTGCCTGAGAAGGAAATTTTAAAAATCATTTTAAAAATTAAGAACATACTTCAAAACAGCAAGACACTGAATAGAATCCAGAATCTTCACAAAGCTGGAACAGAAGTCAGCATCCTGTTCAACCACTCATTCTATAGATAGACAAGGAACTGTAAGCCCTAAAAGTAAAGTTGATTCAAAATCACCCAGTAAATGGCAGGTCACCCAGGAAGGCCCTGTGCCTTCCAGTTCAGAACACTCTCCTCTAGCTGCATGATAAAACTTAATGGAAAATAATTTCCAGTTGGCTGGACTGGATTGGGTATAAGGAAATGAAGTCAGGTCTCTGACTATAAAGACAATTCTACAGGGCCACTGAGGGTTTAGATTACATATGAGGATTATGTAAACAGTCATGGGGATATCAAAACAAGTCTGAAAATTTCCTGATATTCTGTAAATGTGACTAAGCTGCATTGTAAAATCCTCTCTATGTAGAGAAATCTTAATAAAATTCAATGATTGACTTTTCAGGCTAGAAACTAGCCTGCCAGCCCAAATAACTCTATAAATCTCAAAATCCAGAAAGGAGTTTAACCTTTATGTGAGAAATCCATGTGTCCCATAAGACCTAAGCAGTAACTATTTGTTCAAGTAGTATTTGGCCTTACTCAATAATGGCATCACCATTGGAAGTCATAGCTCTTGCCCTATTTAATCCTTAGAAAAATTTTAAAAGCTTATATTGGCAATTTTTTGAAGGAAAAAGAAAAAAGAGGCAAACCATTAATTTGGGCAGCATCACACACTTAGATATTACCTATACTATGTAACCCAAGTAATTCATTCCTGTCTACTGAATCACATCAAATCACTAGAACTCTACTATTATACCTCAGACGAATAATTCACTTTTCAAGCTGATACTTTGGATTTTTTGTAGGAGGTCATCAATCAGCCATTTAGGCCAGAGATATGTCAAATATTTAATCTATAACTTGAAGCATAATTGCATGGCACTCATGACCAGATACGCTACTGAAAGTAGAGGGCATGGTGGTACAGCCCTATAACGCAGCACTTGGAAGTCTGAAGCAGGAGCACCCCAAGCTCAAGACCAGCCTGAACTATACAGTGAGACTTTGTCTCAAAAAACAAACAAATAAATTCAAAGTAGAGGCCACATAGGGAAATGAGCTAAGATGGCCTTGTCAAATACTGTAGGAAGTCAATAGAGAGATTATGCCTGTGTTAACTAAAAAATTAAGAAAATAAACTGGGCACAGTGGCACATGCCTGTAATCTCAGCATCATGGGAGGTTGAGGCAGGAAGATTGAAAGTTCAAACCCAGCTACCCAGCTTGGGCAACTTAGCTACTTAGTGAGACTTTATGCTAAATAAAAAATAACAGGCCTGGGGATTTAGCTCAGAGGCATCGTGCATGCCTCATAAGCACAAGGTCATGAGTTTGAGCCCCAAATAAATAAATAAATAAATAACAAAGGGCTGGAGATGTAACTCAGTACAAAGGACATGAGTTTACTCCCCAATTCTGGATTTGAAAAAAAAAAAGGGGTGAAGAAAATGATAGCAATATCTCTAAAGAATACATCAAAGCCTACTTGAGAGAAGAAAATAATAAGAAAAAAAAGCACTCCAGCTAACTCATCAAAGCACCTTCACTTTACTATTTCAAATTAGATTATGTGATTAACCAAAATCATAAGCCAAAGCATATACAAGTAAATCTACTAGTTACCAATTACCAAATAAATCAAAAATAACTGGGAGAAGAGGGATTTGAAATCATTTCCTTTGAGAAATTACTGAAGAAATTAGAGACATCAAGGAACATATCCTTAACACATGATCTGGACCATAAGCATCAGAATCACCTAAACTGTGGATTTTAAATGGAGATTCTTAAAGTCCTATCTTGAAAAACAAAGCCAAAATCTCTGAAGGCACAGCCCTGTGTTTTAGATCTTTCAACAAGAGCCTGAGGGGATTCCCTGGTATACTGTCCTTAAAACATTGTTTTAGAAGGATGGAAAACAAACTAACATGGCCAAAAAATAGGATTACACAGGAAAAACTAAAGATACATTCAGACCAGCAGGATCTTTTCACCTGCCCTCTAGGGATCTTTTGAGGCTCTTGATTGTCACTCCTGGGAGACCAGATGAACAGTAGAAAGAGTCCATCACTCGGTTCAAATATTGACCAGTATCACCTGCTGTGTGACCCTGCAAAGCTACCTACTTTCTGAGCTTCAGTTTCTTCTTTGCTTTATGGAATCAGGTAATAATATCCATTACTGCCCAAAGGATTTTTATGTGGCTTTAATGAAAATGATAGGGCCAGGGATTTGGCTCAGTGGTTCCACTGCCTGCCTTGCAAGCGCAAGGGCCCAAATTCAATCCTTGGTACCAAAAAATAAAATAAAATAAATAAAATGATAAAAAATATCTAGCATGTGAAACTCTTGCTATAATGTGGTCCAACCAGTACGCAAGACAGTTCCACAGTTCCTCAGAAACAGAATTACCACATGATTCAGCAATTTGCCTTCTGGGAATATATACTTTATATAGTACACAGCTATACACAAAACTGAAAGCAAGATCTCAAAGAGATAGAGAGAGAGAGAGAGCGAGAGAGAGAGAGAGAGAGAGAGAGAGAGAGAGAGAGAATATTATTCACAATAGCTAAAGGGTAGAAGTAACCCAACTGTCCATCCAGGGATGAATTAATCAACAAAAAGGTGTGTGTGTGTGTGTGTGTGTGTGTGTGTGTACACATATGAATATTATTCAGCCTTAAAAATAGTAGAAAGAAAACAGTGAGACCTGCTAAACCATGGATGAACCTTGAGGACATTTTGCTAAGTGAAATAAACTAGTTACAAAAAGACAAATATTCTAAGATTGTATTCATATAAGATCTATTAGAATAGTCAAATTGAGACAGCCAAGCATGATGGCACACAGCTGTAATTCCAACACTCAGGAGGCTGAGGCAAGAAGATTATGAGTTTGAAGCCAGCCTAGACTATATAGCAATACCCTATCTCAAAACAAAATAAAAATGTCATAGATACAAAGCAGGGCATGGTGGCATATGCCTGTAATCCTAGCACTCAGGAGGAGTGCCATGAGTTTGACACCAGCCTGGGCTACATGGTGAGTTCAAGGTCAGCCTGAACTACAAAGTGAAACCCTGTCTAAAAACACAAAAACAAACATTTCATAGATACAGAAAGGAGAAGGATAACTGCCAGGAGAGTGGAACAGGTAAGAACAGGGAGTTACTGTTTGATGTGTACAGAGTTTCTGCTCTGCAAGATGAAAAGCACTGTGAAAATTTGTTGCACTACCATGTAAATGTACTTAATACTACTGAACTGTACCCATTAAAAAAGGCTAATATGGCAAATTGTATGAGTATTTTACTACAATTAAAGATAAAAAGTAGCTGGATACAGAGGTGCATACTATAATTGAAGCACTCTGGAAGGCTGAAGCAAAAGGATCATAAATTTGAGCCCAGCCTGGACAGCTGAGTGATTTAGCAAGACCTTGTCTCAAAATTAAATCTAAAAGGGCAGGGATGCAGCTCAGGGCCAGGGCTTCCTGAGCTCAATCTCAAGTACCCAAAAAAAGTAGCCTGGGATTTAGTTTGGTGATAGAGGCTGGCCTAGCATAGCACAGGATGAGACCCTGGGTTTCTTCCCCATTACCTCCAAAGGAAAATACAATAAAGTGTTTTGTATGGATTCAAGGTCAAACACTCAGTAAAAGCTTGCTCCTTTTCCTATGTTGAACTAAGCTAGCCACAAAATTACTTCTATGGTATTTCTGCCAAAAATACCTGAGATGAATCCAATCAAAGAAAGCATTAAACAAATTCAAATTCACAGGCATTCTACAAAATAAAATCTAAAATAGTAACACCCAACGTGGAAATGGACACTTGTAATCCCAGCATTCTGGAGGTTGAAAAAGGAAGATAATGAATCTGAGGCCAGACTGCATAATGAGTTCAAGGCCAGCCTAGACTACATAGTGAGACCATGTCTCCAAAGAAAAAAAAAATGGGGCCGGGGATTTAGCTCAGTGGTTCCGCCACTTGCCTCACAAGCACAAGGACCCAAGTTCAATCCCCAGTACCAAAAAAAAAAAAAAATGTTAGCCAAGCCCAAGTGGTACACCTGTAATTCTATCACTCAGGAGGCTAAGGTACAAGGATAACAAGTTTAAATCCCACCCGAACAACCTTAGCAAGACCTTGTCTCAAAATTTTATTTTCTTAAATTAATTTTATTGGTACATTTTAGATATATGTAATGATCACATTCATCACAATGAATTTGTACCTGTACATAATAAATCTTGATTCTTTTTTCCCTAATCTTCTCTCCTCCCTTCAACCCCTTTGCCCCTAAAAGCTTTGTTTTCATATTTTTCCTTTTATTCTTTTGTTCTTTTCCCATCCTTCCTTTCTTCCTCTTCCCAAAAAGGCTGAAGCCAGGCATGGTGGCATGCCTATAATCTCAGCACTTACAAGGCTGAGGCAGTAGGGTTGCCACAAGTTCAGGGCCAGCCTGCTACATAGTGAGACTCTGGCTCAAAAAAAAAAAAGAGCTGCAAGGAAGCTCAATACAAAGGCCCTAGGATCAATCCCCAATTAAGAAATAAGGGGGATTAGGTCATAAAGGAAATAAAGCCTGAAAAAGTCTTACATGGGCCAGGGATTTTTAGCTCAGTAATGCTGCCACCTGCCTCACAAGCGCAAAGTCCTGAGTTCGACCCCCAGTAACAAAAAAAAAAGTCTTACAGATTAAAGAGAAGGGCTAAAGAAACTAGCCATGGTGGCACATGTTATAAGCCCACAATGTGGGAGGCTGAGACAAGATCACTGTAAGTTTGAGGCCACCCTGGGCCACACAGTCAGTTCAAGACCAGCATAAACTATATATCAAGACCCTGTCTCAAAATGCCAAAATAAATAACTAAATAGGACTAAAGAGACACTAGCTAAATGCAATGGGATCATAGACTAGGGGAAAAATAGAGTTGTAAAGGACATCACTGGTACAAATAACACCAAATGAATTCTGAACTGTGGATTAAATAAATCCTATCAATGTTAAATTTCTGGATTTTTATAACTAAAGTATAGTTATAAAACATCCTTGCTTTTAGGAAAAATATGCATATTACCTACATAATTTGTGATAAAGGGATCAGATGTCTCCAATTTACTTTCAAATGACCTCCCCCGCAAAAATGTATTTATATACATGTATATTCAAAGAAAATAATGATACCTCAAGAAGAGAAAAATATAAACATTGTGAATATGAATTTAAAAATACCAAAGTCCCTTATTCTGTATTGAGACAGGGTCTTGCTATGTACTTCAAGTTGGCCTTAAACTCACTATGTATCCCAGGCTGGCCTCAAACTTGGGCAATCCTTCTGCCTCAGTCTTCCAAGTGCTGGAATCACAGACATGTGCCATCGCGCTTGGCTGCTTCATTCTATTTTTGTGCTACTCTTTAAGTTTGAGACTATATCAAAATTAAGTCACAAAAAAAAATTAGTTCCCATCTTCTCATGCGACAAATTAAGTAACCTGGTATTTCCCAAAGTTTCTCCACATAACACCAGTTTCAAAAGATGTTTCACATGAAAAGTGGGTTCTTTACACAAATAAAATCAGGACCAGCTATATCTGTGATGTTTCCCTACCAAAGGGTCACACCATACAAAAGCATGTAACAGGTTTGGAGACGTTTCTTTATTCTTTTTTTCTTTTTGGTACCAGGGATCAAACTTGGGACCTTGCACTTGCGAGGCAGGCAGCGGAACCACTGAGCTAAATCCCCAGCCCAAGAAATAAGAAAATAGTTCAATCCCCCACTTCCTGAGCTTTTGATAACTAAGGATTGTTTTGTTTTGACTTTATGATATGAACATCAACCACACTAATACTGTAGAGAATAGAAGGCACTAACTAGCTTAAAGTTGTGAGTGTAAAGAAGGCAAAGCCCAGGCCTGCACTGCTACACAGGCCTGCTGGCCTCAGAGAGCTGCCTATGGACAAAGGACAGGTTTTCTCTGTGTTGACATCTCTGAAATTCTAAGCCCACGATCCAGGTTTCATACTCTACGCACTAGACTAACCACTCCAAGCTATGGCACTGTTTACCACAAAAGCAAACACAGCAGAAATATATCCCTGTTTCAAATAAATACTATTATGTTTACTGCAAGCTATTCATTCCATCTATCAGTTTATAAATCTCATTAGGCAAATAAACCAAACACTTTGATTAACAAGATTATGTCTTACTTCATTGTTATGTCCCCAGTACACAGTGCCTGACTGACCTCAAGTCACCAATACATGCATGTTAATTATATACCAAATTAATCAGTAAATAATTACCTCTGATCCAAGGTACGATTTGCCTTGTATTAACTCAGGTGCTGCATAAGCAAGACTCCCACAGCACGTCTGTAGATGATAATCCTTATTACCCTTGTCAATAAGATAAAAAGGAAACACTTATTAATTAATTATAGTCACTAAGAGTATCAGACTTTGATGCTAGGCATGGTGGCACATGCCTGTAAACCCAGCATGTAGGCTTCTGAGACAGAAGGATCACACGACTTTGAGACCAGTCTGGACAGTGAACTCAAGACCAGCCTAAACTGCACAGTAAGACCCTATCTCAAAAAAATATACAAAGCGGGGCCAGGGATTTAGCTCAGTGGTTCCGCCGCCTACCTCACAAACGCAAAGTCCTGAGAGTTCAATCCCTGGTACCAAAAAAATATATATATCAAAATTCGATAAACACTCTTTGAACACAAAGAAAAGCTAGATGAAGAACTATCCCAAATAATAAGAGACTTCTGCAGCCAACCCAATACTCTGCATACATGCACACACATGCAGTCTCCACTTCCCTAGATTTCCAATACTACTACAACCATACACATGCAAAATCTTTTTCCTGTTGGTTCAATCACATTCCACTCATAGTCCCCTAGATATTCATTTGCATTACCATCAGTCTAGCATAATCCAAGCACCCATGTCTTCCTACCCTCAAGTACTCAAGAAAAAAGGACTCTTTCCAAGTTCCTAGTTCCAATATCAAATCTTTACAAACATGGAAAAGTTTCTTTCTTCTTAGAGGGAAGATAGCAACACAAGGCTGGAGATTTAGTTCAGTGGTTCTGCACCTGCCTTGCAAGCACAAGGAACTGAGTTCGATACCCAGTACAAAAAAAAACCCACAGTATATAGAACAGTACTTGAAGAGCCTATTTTCTAGACTCAGTTATAAGATGAATCAATCACCATCCTTACTTCCAGATTTAATAAAATGAAAAATCTGTTCATCCTCCTCTGCTCTCCCACAGATACAGCAAGACTTAATGAAAATGAAGCTATTGCCAAATTCCTGCGTGGAATCCTACAGCTCGCAAAGGACTTGTAAAAAACTGTGAGATTTCATTTACAACTGAAACATGCCCAGAAGTGAGATCTTCACAAAAGTCTGAGAAAATCCTCTCCCAGGCTACCCCCATTTTCGTAAATGTGACAGTGTGGGTAGCATCCATGACAGCCATAAAACCCTCCCCACTGTGTTCTCTGGACAGTATAACTTAAACCAGCTTCTTTATTCAAAGTATGATCTCTATATGTTGTGGGTCAGGCACCTGCCTTCTGGCATTTGCTTCCAGACACAAGACTCCACTGATTATCTCTGAAAAGTAGATGGAGAATCAGACATTCAACCAAAGAGGCAAAATTTGCTTCCTTCTGCACCTAGATAATTCTGATTGGGGCAAAAAATATTCATGGGATTACAAAGTGTGTAAGACAAGTCTGCAGTTTCAACATTCTTGCATAGACAGCTCATTTTAGGACCATCATTACAGAATTCAGGAGTTTGACACCAAAGGTAACCACATAGGAGATCTACTATAGACAGCAGACCTGGGAAAGTCATCTCCAAGAGAAGTTATGATGGACAATACCACTGTTTAAGTGTGGAATGCAGATTAGGGAAATGCCTGAAGGTATAAATTTACAGGTGCATATAGACATTTTCCTTCTTTTTTTATAAGGAAATAGGATCATTTCCAAAAATGTAACTGTTAGTTGCATAACCAAAAATAGATTAATACTAAATTCTCAACTGCTGTCTAAATGAACAAAAGCATCATCTAGTGGCAACACAGTCAAACCGCAAGCACAATGATCAGTTTAGTTCACATACTATAATGGATTTCTTAAACATTGGCACCACAAATTCTCTCATAGCTCACCCATGGGATCTTCACCAGGACCTCAATCTTAGCTACATATTAGAATTATCTAAAGAACTTACTGACACCAAGGGTAAAATTTAATATTCTTCACAAAGGATGCAACATGCTTAATAAAATTAAGAAGTCAGTGCAAGAAAACATACTGAGAGGTACACTTAAAAAGAAATAAGGGCATTTTTATTTCTGCACTTACCTTAGGCTTTGCACAGAGACCAAAGTCAATCAGCTTTATTTTATGATATTCATCAAATAAGAAATTCTCCTGAGAAAACAAAAAATATGTTCATAACTATATTTTTACTTTCTTATGACATATCCCACCTCTAGCCATTTCTTTATTTGGTACCCAGGATCAAACTCCGGACCTCGTGCTTGCCAGGCAGGCATGGCACCACTGAGCTAAATCTCTGGCCCTAGCCATTCCTAAAAATGGGTTTTTAAAAAAAGCCAAGAATGGTGGCACACTCCTGTAATCCCAGCACTCAGGAGACTGAAGCATGATTACAAGTTCAAGGCCATTTTAGGCTATATAGTGAGTTCAAGACCACTCTGAAGTTAATTTTTTAAAAATGGTTTAAGGCTGGGTTGGGCATGATGGGATACACCTGTAATCACAGCACTCAGGCAGCTGGGGCAGGATTGCCCTGAGTTCAAGGCCAGCCTGGGCAACACAGTGAGTTTAAGGTCAGCCTGAACTACTTGGAGATCCTATTTCAAAAGATAAATAAAAATTTTAAAAACGGTTTAAGTTTATTTATACCAAAATCCTAGACACAACAGAGTAAAAAACTACCGAGATGACAAGAAGTTTAGGGCCAGGGATTTAGCTCAGTGGTGCCACACCTGTCTCACAAGCACAAGGTCCTGAGTTCGATCCCCAATACTGGAAAAAAAAAAGAAGTTTAAAAGGGGAAAGACAGCGGGCAGAGTGGCACATGCCTATAACCCCAGCACTTGGAAGGCTAAGGCAGAAGGATCCCAAGTTTGAAGTCAGCCTGGTCTACATAGTGAATTCAAGACCAGCCTGAAATACATAGTGAGACGTTGTCCCCAAAAAACAAGAAAAAAATTTAATTAAAATAAATAGAGAAAGAGCAGAAATGTTATAACTGTACCACTTCTCATCAAGACACACTGGCATAAACATTCCTCCTTGCTGCTTTCCAAATCAACTACCTGTAAATACAATTTGAGGACCAGGGGTTTAGCTGCTTGTCTCACAAGCACAAGGACCCAAGTTTGAGTCCCGGTACCAAAAAAGAAAAAAAAGAATTTGAGCAAAGGGAAAATTTAAACCTAAAGAGTGAGCTGAAAATGAAGAGTTGAGCATAAACAGATGAAAAAGAATCATAAAACTGCCTTATCCGCTCAGACCAATTCTGTGGTCTCTGCATATTTAAATTTATATGCACTATCACATTAGTCAGAGCTTGCAGACTTAAAGTGTATTCATATTTTTATTCAGTCCCTTAAAGAGTAGATCTAGCCTAGCAGAGTAGAAGAAGCCTGCGATGTAAGCAGTCTGGGAGCTGAGGCAGAAGGATAGCAAGTTCAAGCCCAGCCCAGGAAGGAAGGATGGGAGGAAAGGAAAGGGAAAGGAAAGGGAAAGGGAAAGGGAAAGGGAAAGG